GACTTTAATCATTCTATCTGCAGATGAACAGCATGTCATGAAAACCTAGGTCATTAAAGGATGTCATGAATAACTAAGCATAGCTTAAACATAAAAGTATTAGTTCCATTACAGTTTCAATGAATGCAATAAATAAACAGGAGACTCCAGATTAACTGAATGTAGTGAGAAAAGCATCAGGAACAATGTTGGGCTAAACTGCTAAAATGTTTTAWTTTWTTTTTGTCCTGTTTTGTTTTYCCTGCAGGGAAACACGCGACCACAGGGGAGGAGTCAGTGACTCTGGACAACGGAGGTTTCACTTCTCTGGAGCTGAACAGCAGAACGCTCAACACCAAGAACTCGTTCCTGAAAAAGAACGGAACCCGGTGAGCGCTCCCATCCCTCCCTGACACAAACACGCACCTGGACCTGATCCAGTACTGACAGATTTATTGCTCCATCTTGTGTCCAGATCTCCCCCCAGGCCCAGTCCGGGTGGTCTTCACTACTCTGATGACGATATCTGTAACAACTATAATGGAGCGGTGCTCACTGAGAGCACCACACTCACTGAGAAACCCACAGAGGTCTCTGAGTCAGAGGTATCATGTTCTGTCTGTCTCTTCACTCGTCTGGCTCCGGACTGAAAACTTGACTGCCAACACATCAAGAATTACAAACTCCAGCATCYTATTGGCTCAGTCTTTTCATTTATTTTATAAYTTGTCCAATTGATCATTTCTTAACTGTGCTACAGTAACAGTTTCTTATTACACATCAGCTGCATGTCTGAAAGGAGGAATGCCTCCTTTGTGTTTCGAGTTTTTTTTTTCCTTTGAGACCAATTTGTGGTTAAATGAACTGAATGTGAGTTTACAACATCAGCTGGTTTGAGCCTGACCTGTGACCTTCTGTCTGTCTGCTGTCTTTCATCTGTTCTCTGACATCTCCTGTCAAATACATGTACTTTACTCCTCTGTTTTGTTTTTAGTGGCATCTATGGACCGTTTTAATTTTTCCTATTAGTTTAGAATCTGATGACAGTACAAACTTTAGATCTAGCTGTTTTGATCAACAGACTTTCTGGGTCCTCCTCCACAGTTTAGGTGGTATCTCATTGGGCTGCGACGGTTGGAGGCGAGTTGGTGACGCAAAGTTGAAGAAAAATTGAGATAATAGGCAAATTTTGAAGCACTAAGTCTGTGTTTGCAACCAGTCAGCTGTGTTAATGGAGTGCACTTCTGAACTGACAACAAACAGATTTTGACCAGTTTTTCAATAATTATTTTTATAATTAATGTTAGTTTTACACCTCGGCATATTTTCTGACAGAGGAGAGCTCCTGTGCAGGCGTCACAATACAAATTTTGAGATGAGTTGGAAATGGCCAAATCAAGTTTGTGTCTATTTTGAAGGGGAAAAAAATGTTTGCACAAATTGTTTGAACGTGTTCAAAAGTCACATGACAGGGCTGAACTTCTTGAGGGAATTCAGAACCATTGCAAACGTCACAAAACCTTAGAGACTACCTTGTGAATGCTGTTTGCCAGTGGTGGGCAGTAGGGCTGGGTATCGATTCATATTTCCCATATCGATTTGATTCGATTCACGATTCACAGCGATTCAGGACGATTCACCGTTCAGTTTGATTGATTTTTAAATTAGTTAAGGATAGCATGTAGTAACACATTTACTTTGATATGTAAGATGTTCTCAAAGGAACTAATTCTGTAAATAGTGGAAACTTATTCTAACTTGGTGCATTGGTACAATTATAAACATTAAAGGCAAACTTATAAATTGGAGTTTAATCTTGAAACAAAACTGTCTCAAGTTTCAAAGTGTTTAAACTAAAAAGGAATTGCAAGAGAAAGTGTTGCTGATACTTTAGTTTTTTTAAGAAACTAAGAATAATTTTCTTGATCATTAAGAAGTGATGGAATAAGGTTACAGGAGAAGAGGTGGGATAATACAAGTGTTTACTTCTGCCCACTCTATTGAGATAATTGTATATTTGTAATGTTTCTGTTAGCTTCTGTTCAATAAAACTTGTTAACAAGAAGAAAGAAAGAAAAAAAAGTATTTCAGCTAAAACATTCATCACTGAATTGCATTAAGATGTTTCTTGAATTTATAAATAATATTGGTAACAAAACTAAAGGATTGTTAGACTGTCATCTTTCACACATTTATACAGGAGGAGAACAGTTTCAGTCAGATGTTCACATACCGTAGTTTTGGTTCGAGCCGCTCGAAGCTTCGTTTCCCGCTGCTGCGTCAGAGCACAAATCTTTGCAAACAAAAGTTGTCATGGCCTCTGTTATCTTTAAGTTCAGCTGAGAATCAGATGRTAATGTTAGTGATTCCTTAGCTTCTTTTGTTTTKTCCCAGACAACTTGTTGTCGGGAGCTAATGYTAGCGCTCACCGTCAACCGGATGTAAAAGTACGGCAAGCCAGGAGTGACACACAACATGGAAACGTGCAGCTTCATCGCACACAACACCCATGAGGAAAATCAATCTCATGACTTGTGAATCGATTTTCCCAAATTTGAAYGAAAATCGATCCAGATCAAYTAAAYTGATTTTTTTTTAAACCCAGCYCTAGTGRGCAGCACTAATCTAAACATTAGTTGAACTAACCCTAAAGAACTAACTCAAATATTTAGCASTAACGCACGGAAATTTTAGCAAAAGCTAATTCTAAAGCACTAATCAGCATAATCCAGTTGATACCTGGAACATTCTTCAGTCAACATGAGACAGTATTTACTGTGTGCAGAATTTTGTCACTTAGTGCCCTTGGCGGGCCAAATSGGAGTCACCTGCAGGCCACATTTGGCCCGTGGGCCTTGAGTTTGACACATGTGACCTTGTAGATAAGTGACATAATTATGAACAAAATTTATGACAGCTTTCACTCTCAACTGTGAACAATAATGTTGATCAATAACATTTAAAGACCTCAGTTAGTGCTTCAAAATTTAGCCATAAATTTAACAAGTGCTAATCCACTAAGGAATTTTAAAAAATAGCAAAAGCCCTAAAGCACTAATCAGGAAATTAGTTCCCCTCTTAGCTTTATTAGCTTTAGTGTTTTAGGGTGACAGTGCCCACCACTGCTGTTACCAACTAGTCCCAGCCCAGAGAGATACAACCTTCTACCTTGTTGCAACATTGTGTTTTTAAAGTAGCACAGAGAAACTAAATACTAACTCTAGAGTGTTTTCTGCACTTTTAGAGCATAAATTCTGCCTTGTAGCAAACTTAACACATTTCTTCCTTCTGTTTCTGTAATCAGCGGAACACCTGACCCTGTTGTGTTTGTGTTTGTATCCAGTTAACGGACAGCGACTACGAGGACGAGCAGCCGAAACACTCCTTCGTCAATCACTACATGAGCGACCCCACCTACTACAACTCGTGGAAGCGGCAGCCCAAAGGCCTSAAAGGGGTGGGGGCTCCTTTCGGCTACGAGGAGTGTGCCACCGCCGACACGGAACCCTACTACCAGACCGTGGTCACCCAGCACAGCACAGGTGGAGCGTACACGCCCACGGGGCAGCCGGCACACACACACGTCAACCCCAACACTAACCCGCCGGGGTCCCGCACCCCCGTGACAGGATTCTCCTCGTTTGTTTGACTGTAGAGACAACGTTTGCACAAAGTAACGCACACGCATGTGGAAGGAAGGTGTGTGTGTGAGTGTGTGTGTGGAGGTGGCAGGGGGAGGGGCTCAGTGTGTGCCTGGACTAAAGGAACTGATGAAGCAGCCTATCACGCACCCACCCCCAAAGAACTAAACTTAAGACTTCTCACTTCTGCTCCCCTCCCTGCCCCCCGTTCATGAAGACCCTGTGTTCTGCGTGTGTGTTCTCTAAATCTTTTACATCTCTTTGTCACTGTGCTCACACACACACACATCTACTGTCCTCATTTCCAACAAACTCTCAACGGCGTTTCCCTCCAGATGCCCACGTCCACTCCAGAGACTCTCCGAGGAGAGCCAGGAGCCACGACTGGATTTATCTGCGAGTCCGTTTGTGTTAGCGGCTCGGAGAAGACCACCCCGGAGCTAAGAGAGCTGATATTTCTGCACAAAACATTTCTTCTGATTTCTGTGTCCACACATACGTGCACAAGTCCCCCCTCCACCGCCACCCTTCTCGTCCTCATGCACTCTCTGATGCACCATTTCAGCATCTGCTACAGAGAGAGGAGCTAAAGAAGTGAGCAGCGTTTGCTGACAGACCGCTTCGCGCACACAAACCCAAAGCTGTCAGCTTTCAACGATCACCAGAGTAATGAAGAGGAAAAAAACAGATCACTAATCAGCTTTGAATTTTGAGAAATTATGAAGAGTGAACTGGTTGTTTTTTTTTAGCACTTACAGTGTTCTCAGTAAGAGTGTTGAGCAGTCTCTGAGAGCAACGTGATGTTTGCATTGGAATATATGAAAACGTGTTGTTTGTTTTTTTACCGTGTACTGCCTGTTCTCCTTTTATCGCAGCCTCCTAAGCCATAATGCTTGCACTGAGCCAAAATCCCTGACCATTTCACCTTTATTTTTAATATATATATATATATTTTTTTTTTTTGTAGTTTTATTTCTCCAAGTCCGAGTGTGACGCGTGCGCACACAGGCGTGTGTGTGAAACGGCTCCGTGCTCGCTGTAAGAAGCCCGCTCATGCGTCCGTCGCGTTCACCGCAAAGCAAAGTGTGCCATCGTGTGTGCGTTTGTATTTTTAAGATGACTTTTGTACAGCAAAACCCTTTTTACTCGTGTGCCGTTGTATGTAGCTCTGTTTGATCCGGAGCAAAGGAGCACAGCTGAAGGTTCAGCTGACGGATGTGGGAGAAAAGGAGGCAAAGTTTTCACAAAAATCAATAAAAACAAGCCACAGTCACAGAGAGAGGTAGAATGGTGCAGGTTTACAAGATATTTAAAAAAAATTTTTTCTTGTTCTGCCTATGTATAATTAAACTTTGAATCATGAARCGCCACAATCTGAACCTTGCTCTGACTTCCAGGAACAAGCAGGCCAACAGTGACGTACTCTGAACTTCTCTTCAACTCCAARCACTCCTCCAAGTATTTGCTCATGTTTGATTTGTAGGCTCCTTGGCCGGCCAGCAGCGTCCTTCACTCTGTCACGCTTGTTTTGAGCCTCATGCAGTGTGAATAAACGATACCATTCTATAATAGCGTCCTAGTGTGTGTTTGGTGTGGCTACACCACGTGTTACACAAGAACTACAAATGTAAAATCCTTTTTAACTTTTTTTTTTGTACAGAGTTTTGAAGCTTTTCTGTGTCCATTCGAAGCAGGTTGTGTTTTAATGTCCAGCTCGGTGCGTGATATGTTTCCTCGAATAAGACAATACATTCGCGGAAGTCGGGCTAAGTTCAATCAATAAACAATGATGCAAGAAGTGATGCAACAGAAACAAAGTGCAATTTTCACTGTGCAGTCGTCTACCAGGTTTTGCAAGCTGTTATTTTACTAAAATGTTAAAAAAAAGATCAGTCTAACAACATCACGTGTTTATATATTGATATGTTTAAAGAAATTACCCATAAAATTGTTTGGCTTTTTTGGGAGGGCATTTTTCTATACCAGACAGGTCAGTCACAAGGGGGACATACGTTAGTCATCTTCACATCCAATTGGCATAAAGTTTCCTGGTTTTGTGCAAATAATTAAAAGTTTCTGAAGGAAGGAAAGATCCAACTTGAATTATCTAAACCTGTGACATCAAGGACCTCACTTCCCCTTWGAATTTGAATTGAGAGGTGTCTTCTTAAGATCTAATGAGCTCTCTGAAGCCTTCTGCACTTCTCTGAGTCTGGCAAGGAATAAAGAAAAGATCTTTTTAAAAGTTTTCTTCTACAGCTTTGTTCAAGGTAGAACTTTGCTCYTGTGTTGTAATGGTTCTTTTTAAGAAACAAAGGTGGAGTAAGAGGCATTGGTGCATGATGATTCTGTATTATTTTAAAAATAATTGAACCTAATGTATGGGCACCTGCTTGATCTTTCAGATGAATAACGATCCTCAGCACAGAATTGACTAAAGAACAGCTCAAGAAGAAGAAATGGAGGTTTTTAGAAAGCAAACATCAGATTTTACTATAACTAACATAATGGAAAGACAAAAATATGGTTATATGGCAAAAAACCCACTCAGATATTTTTGCAATGTTTTTTTAATTGCTTATGCTAAAGAGTTTGTACTTTTTTTATCCAATCCTGCTCCTTATTGTTCGCAAATTTTCACATTTATTTTGTTGATTGTTTATTTTTTAAACTATGTGGATGTTAAAGAATATCAAACCTCTTTGTGTTATAAAATATATAAAAAKTTGAATTGATTAATTAATTTATTTATTTCCCTATATTTATTATGCTGTTGAGGTTGGCTCCAGCATGTAAGCAGAATATTATAGGTGTAGTTTATGGGGCTTAATAATCTTCCTGTCGTTCACGCTGCAGTTGCCACAACGTGATGTGATGTAGGACGTTCTCAGCAGGAGGTCTCAGTAAAAGGTATGAGGATGGAGGGGGGATTCTTAAACGCTTCAGCCTMTGCTGAACTGTCTTGATAAAGTGTGTCATGTTGACAGTTCAGGAGAGAGCCTCAGTGATGCACWSCAAMAACCATGWCTAATTGACCTCACTGCAGCTCCCCTATGGAGAGGGGTTTTAGTTTAAGAGCTTTTAAAACTCCTTTAATAACATTGGTACGTTTAAATATGAATTATGAGGGTAAATATTTGAATAAAGTGTATCTGGGCTGTATAGAACAACATCTTAGGTTGCAGCTTACTAATCTATATTTCTAGCTTTTATTGTTCCAACGCCTTCTATAACACCTTTTTATCAGGTAAGTAACCTAAAGCACTTTAGTAGTTGTATTAAAAGGTTTTATTGTAGTTGATGTTTTATTTATTTTTATTTATTTTATTAATAATTTTATCTCCCCAAATGATACAATTTTTTTGAAAATGCCACTTTTGAAATCATTTGTAATCCTTTGTCCAGTTTTTTTTTTTAACTGAAATCTAGACAATAGGTGCAGACATGTATGTGCAGCCTATTTCTAGTARCAAAATGATTTCTGCTCTGTACCTAAAGACCGTTTTGACCGGCACAGACAGAAGGACTCTGCAATGTAATGCAAGTTTATTTGGAAATTAACCAAACCATATAAAGCAAAAACATAATGGTAGTCTAAACCAGTGTTTCCCAAAGTTGGGGTCGGGACCCAAAGTGGGGTCCCGAAACGTCAAGGTGGGGTCCTGAAA